GACTTGAGCAAAGCGAGCATCGGCTCCGACACCGACTCATTTTCAGAGGCCGACCAGGCAAATCTTGCGTCCGATTCGGACTATGGGATCGTGAGCACGGATGAATTCAGTCCCATTCGCCTTGCGCACGGCATCATTATGACCACAGTCTTCGTCGGTATTTATCCCTTGGGCGCTCTCCTCATGCCAGTATTCAACAAATGGTTCCTCCATTCGGCGTCACAGCTTCTCGCGTATATCCTCATGTGGGTTGGTGTCGCCTTGGGAGTCACATACTCTAGGCAAACTTCGCTCGTAAGTCCAGTTCTTTGCTCCTCATGATATCGAGATGGCCCTTCTATCCAATTCAGACCGGCTGACCAGCAATGGCACATCTAGTTCGGCAAGCAAACCCATACGCGACTGGGTCTGATCGTGGTCATCCTTCTCAGTTTCCAACCCGTCCTCGGCTACTTGCACCACCGATATTTTTCCAAGCATCAATCCATCGGCTTGGTAGGCCACATCCACATCTGGTACGGCCGGGCGCTCATGATTCTTGGTGTGGTCAATGGTGGACTGGGCCTGCAACTCGCTGGCCAGGCTGGCGGCTCGTGGGTCATAAGCTATTCGGTCATCGCGAGCACGTGCTTCATCGCGTACCTCATTTCCATCATCATGAGCTTGAACAAGCAGAAGAGAAGGAGGGCCGAGAATTCGAGGCACTCAGGCCAGCGCTGGCCCAGTCCTGATTCTCTGTTGCAGACTGCGGAGGAGACATATCATCCCTCCTACTACCAAGACCCCAGGAATATCCCTATGAAGGACTTGACTCGCAATCGCGACAACACTGCAGTAGACGACGGCAAATAGGTACCTAATACAATGTTTTCATGATCAGTTTCGATTTATCAAGCTTCAATGACATTCCAACGGGGCCGAAAAGCTCGTGCTGACGCTCCGGAAGTCCGTTGGAAGCGCGGAAGGAATCTCGGAACGCGGCGTGCGCTGTCACTGTCGTGCGGCTTAATTGGCCCTTTTGTACGACACGGGCATAGCTAGTTATTTGCTTGGCAGAGATTAACTCAAAGGAGAAAATCATATTCTCCTGTATCTGCGCCACGAACATTGACTTGCCCCTCTCACAGTGCGATTAGCTTTGCTGTTATGTGGAGTTACGGAATTCAGGCGGCGGCAAATGCCAAAATACTGTTCTTTGAACTGTGCGGATACTGTACCATTTGTAAGCGGGGTTTAATTGGAAGAAGTATATGGTTTGGAGTTTCTGTCCTATTGACACTATTCGTCTCTCTACTCATCTACCATTCGATAATTCAATCTTAATATCATTAAACAAAATGTCACACACATACAAGTCTGATTACCCCTCAGGTGTAACTACAGATCATGAGATTATCCAGTTTTTCGAGGACTTCTACAAGACCTCTGACACGCCTGGCGCCCACGACCAATATGTCGACCTCTTCACAAAGGACGCAACCTTTGTACTAGCCTCCAAGCGCAGCATCGGGCATGACGGTAGGAGTCTCTGTCCCGCTCAGGTGGAAATATCACTAAGCATCAAGTAGAAATCACAACGACAAGGCATGGCATGTGGACCGCTGTCGCCTCCCGAAAACACACGATCCCCAAGATCTTCCCTTTTGGGAGCGGGACTAATGAGTTCATGCTCTATGGCTCGGTTGCATTGGGCTTGAAGAATGGTGCTGAGGCAGAAGTCGACTGGGCGGCAAGAGCTCAGGTAGTTAAATCACCCTCAGACGGAAAATGGAGGATGTCTTTCTACCAAGTATACCTGGTGAGTATATCTTTGATTAGGCTAGAAAGTTTTCGGAATTACAACTAACTTATTCGTTTCTTTAGGATACTGGAGCTACAGCTGCGTATGCTAAGAAATAAGGCCCATGACAATGAACTGCAGAGAGCTTGTTTAGAGAGAGCCAATACGGCCCCGTTCACGAACATTTTATCAATAGATGAATAAAGAATAATTCCAAAGTGCCACACTGTGTCAACTTGAAATTCAGCAAGTCATGGTTGCCAACGGTTCTCATTTTCTGCTACGCTTCGCTTAAAAGCATTGGTTATCAGAGCTTTTAATTCATACTGATATTTACAAGAGAACATTTTCAGATCAGAAGAGTTCTTCAGGAGAATCTTAGATCGCGAAACAAGAAACTATCAGGATTGTAATTGATATCTTCGATGCTTCTCAACAATATTTGGAGGTCTCTCAAATCAGCGTATTGCCCAGGCGCGAATGTTGACACAACATAGTGATGCTCGATGGCTAAATAGCTGGTATATTCTTGCACAGAACCACGAGTATCAGGCTAGAACCCAATAAATACAGAGGCAAGAGATATGAACTCTTCCCAGACCCCATCCCATTAACTCATAAAATCGAAGTCACCCTGAGCAGGCGTTAATCAATCAAGATCCATAACCCTGATCTCGGCCTCAACAAAGGCATTTCTTTCCGCATTCCAAAGCGCTTCCTCTTGAGCCTTCCTATTCCTCTCCTCCTTGAACCTCAACGCCGATTCTCTAACACGCATTGCAGCCTCCCGGATCCTCTGGCCGGACTCTTTCATCCTTGCCTCCCTTTCCAATCTGCGCCTCCGGGCAGCTTCCTCCTGTGGTGTACGGACACGGTTGGCCTCAGCGGCCAGCCTCTCCTGCTCAGCAGCAGCGCGTCTGGCAGTCTCCTCTTGCCTCCTCTTGGCCATCTCCTCCCGAAGACGCTGCCTGTTCTGTTCCTCCTCCTCGGCCGTCTCGTGGAATGGGAAGGTTGGGTTCAAATTGCTTTGTCGGAATGAGGTCTGCCCGAAGCCGAATGTAGCATGGTTTCTGCCACTTCTGCCCCTGGCACCCATTCGACCACCGAAGAAGCTCTGGCGCCGACGCTCACGGTCGAAGACTTGACGGCTGTTGGGGTCGCCTAGGATGGAATACGCTTGCTGAAGCTATATCAGTTGGGATGAGTATTAGCTATCATTCCACAAATACACTTGAAAAAACGAAGAGAGTCGAAATAGCCGTACAAGCTGGAAAAGAAGAGTTGCTTCGGGGTTGTCGAGGTTCCGGTCGGGGTGCCTCAGCCTGGCAAGCCGCATGTAGCTCGCTCGAATGACGGCTTGATCCGCATCGGGAGAGACCTCAAGGACCGTGTAGTAGTCAACAAATGTCTCGTTCGACATCTTTACAGATATAATGAGAGAATTTCAAAAAAAATTAAATAGAATCAAAGGAGAATAAGGGGTCTATGCGAAGTTCTTTCACGGGCGTTGCTTAGCTGCAGATGTCGACGCGTTTGAACGATGGGGAGGCGTGGATTTTTTTTCTCTCCCCCTCCTGAACCGAGGCAGTGCCTTGGATTTAAATGGGTCACATAAAGGAGAGATGCTCCCGCGTTTGATTCCAACTTACTGTATACTTCTCATGCGTTTCGAGCAATGCATAATGCAGATATGTGGGGGGATCCCATTCGCTTGCTGTCGTTGGCTGGGAACGGTTGGAGCCACGTCAAGGAGGGTCAAATGATTATGGCTTGCAGGATAAATTGCAGATGAGTCGACCTGCATGCATGAAAATCTAGATGGGAAGATGCTGATTGCTGGAAATGCCCGTTATCTGAAGATGGAGATGCCCATCCTTTCCAAGATTACCCTGGCTGACACAACCAACTCCCGTAATAGCGACGCGCAATCAAAGTCCTTTTGGTCTATATATTCGTGAAGTAAGTCAGATAGTTTCCTATTTAATCAGAACGCAACGGTAGCATCTTCCTTCATCTTTCACGGTTACATTTGCCATCATTGTTACGTGGTATGTTATCTTTCCCGGCGGACAAGTATCTCGGCAAGCCACAGACCATCAGCTGCTTACAGTCACATGCCCCAAACCGATTGATACGGCCAGATGAGTCCCTAATTTAGAACGATCTGAGCATGTGGACCGATACGAACATGCACGTCACCGTATCTAGTGAAATAGTAAGATATCTATCAGTCTCTCAAGTGAACATTGAAGTCTGTGTGCTTCGCCATGATGTGTTTTGAGATAAGTTTTCTGCCCAATTTCCATCTCCAATCTAACCTCATCTACATTCATCATTTCGGGATCAGCACTAGCTTTACTACCTCAGCTCTTCAAATTCCTCTCCTCTACCTGTGATGCGATCCCTGCATACACATGCAAGTGTCCCTAAGTCTCATGATCGCCTAAAAGAAGCAGAGCCCTGCCTGTTTATTGCCCTTTTGCACATAAAACGAACTTCGCTTATAGCTGATAGATTCCTTTAAATGTCTAGATTTTGTTATCATATCAGGTCCGTGATGAGGTCTTTCAAAGAGACAACTATCCAGTCATTATCGATGGCATAGTCAGTTCAATAGGAATAGAGTTCATTAAGTCGTTCTTTATATATATTTCGCCTATAGTCTCATCGCTTTCCATTCATCTGGGAGCTTTTCTTCTCAAAGTCTAAACTTCCGTCTTTGCATAATGTTTCAAGCGATAAAAAGCTATGTCGACCAGCTCAATGAGGAATGCAATAACTGTAGGGTAACAACAATGGCCGACGGGGATCCAACGGGGATCTAACCGCGGGGTCGGGGGTACTTAACCGCAAATGACGTTCAATTGGCCCCGTTTTCAGGTGATTAAATTCCCCAGATCCTGCTGGAGCAATGGCTTGGCGACTGCGGAGAGGAGATCGCCCCCTTCTGCGCTCTATCACAATATCCGACTGCGGCAGCCAATTACCTTGTGGCTAATCGAAGCGTACCGGCCGTGAATTAAGCATGAGAAGGTTTCCCCAATCACTTGGCCTGCTGGTCATCTCCCACGGGCGTTGTGCAGGTCTCTCAAGGGCTAGAAGATGCTACAGCACATCGCCATCTACCAATGCACACTCCAAACGCGCCCAGAATGGGCTTGGACTTGTTGGTGTCGTTGCAGCTACAGCGGCCGTTACTGCTCTGGTAACCGCGAGTATCATGTCTAATCGAACAGAGGCACTGTCCAAGCCTGTGGTAGAGAAAAGCGACCACAAGCAACCATTAGGCCCAAGATATGCGGATGAAAAGACGACGTTGAAGGTGAGAATACAAGGCTTACTACAATCCATGCTATGCAAGCTGTAATGTCCCGTATGCTCATGACCGCAGGCTCTGGAAGAGATCAAAGCATCAATAAAGGGCATTTCTGTCAGCTTGGATCCGGATGATCTCGAGTCTCATGGCTACGCTGAATGGTCAGCCTCCAATATCCCAGAGCGTCCATTCGCCGTCGTCATGCCCACCACGACAGAAGAGGTTTCAACGATTGCCAGGATCTGTACAAAGTACAAGGTGCCCATGATTCCGTTTGGCGCAGGATCCAGTGTTGAGGGTCATTTCACTGCACCGTTTACTGGCATCAGCATCGACCTCTCCAAGATGAACAAGATTGTCTCTTTGAACGCAGACGACATGGATGTCATCGTCCAACCGGGCGTGAATTGGGTGAACTTGAACGACCAGATTAAAGAATCAGGGCTGTTCCTACCCTTGGACCCGAGCCCAACAGCTCATATCGGAGGCATGGTTGCAACAAATTGCAGCGGGACGAATGCCATGCGATATGGAACTATGAAAGACTGGGTAGTCAATGTCACCGTCGTGCTTGCCGACGGTTCGGTTATCAAAACTCGCCGGCGCCCTCGTAAGACGTCTGCTGGCTATAATCTCACCTGCCTTTTTGTCGGATCTGAAGGAACTTTGGGGATTATTACAGAGATAACTCTAAAACTTGCTGTCATCCCATCGTCATACGGGGTTGCAACGACAACCTTCCCTTCCGTCAAAGAAGCCGCTGCTGCTGCGTCAAAGTTGATCCGACGAGGAATTCCACTCGCCGCCCTTGAGCTCATGGATGATGTCCAAATGCAGGTGATCAACAAGACGGGTGGCGCAGGTGGGCGGATGTGGCCTGAGAAAGCGACGCTGTTCATCAAGTTTTCGGGGAGCACGGAGAGCGCTGTGAGAGACAACATGGAGCAGGCTCAGGAGATTTCCAAGGCGTATGGGGGGGCTGACTTTGAGTTGGCCAAGTCTCAAGAGGAGATGGATAGTCTGTGGGCAGCGAGAAAACAGGCACTCTGGGCGATGCTCGCTTTGCGTGAAGAGGGCACGGAGATCTGGTCGACAGATGTTGCCGTTCCGCTATCACGGATGGCGGAGATCATCGACCATTCGAAAGAAAACTCTTCAAAACTTGGCCTATTTTCGAGCGTCATGGGGCATGTCGGTGATGGCAACTTCCACCAGGCAGTTATGTACGATCCTCGAAATGCAAAGCAAACGGCATCAGTGAAGAAATGTGTCGACGATATGGTCGATATGGCGCTTGAGATGGATGGGACCGTATCTGGAGAGCACGGTATCGGCATTGGTAAAAAGCACTGCCTAGAGAAAGAGCTGAGTCCTGATGCAATTGCTGTTATGAGATCACTTAAGCAGACTTTGGATCCTCATTGTTTGTTGAACCCTGGCAAAATCTTTGACAATTAATATAACCTGAGCCGAGATTTGCTGTTCCTTCAGAGGTCTCCCGGGACTGGTGGATAGTCCTTGCTTAGCGTGAAATTTCTTATATTAGACACATACTACTCCAGAATAAAAGTACAGACGTTTAGTAAATCTTGTCTGCTGCCGGTTGATCGTTCATATTCTTTCACTTTCAAACCGAGGACTTGATGGTACCTAGTGTTAATATGGTCCGTTGCGGTTACTTATTACACAAGGTAATACAAGCCTGTATTTGGAAGGTCTATTGGTATTGAGAAGGACAAATGTAAACTGATTCTGCTCTGATCACATCATTTATTAAGAGAGAGACCCTGCAAATTTGCTCATGGCTAACTGCACTCTATCTGGCGCTTCAATGCAATGCCAATGACCGACCCCATCGAGTATCTCAATTTTCTTCCCACTGGTTGTTCCCCAGCTACAGTTCATGTTAGTAAAAGACCACTGCAGGAATCTTCCATGGCTTGACGTACCTATCCAAGATCGCCTGGCAGCCGGCTAGCGGACTTGTTTTGTCCTCTCCGCCGGCGATTATGAGTAAAGGAGCCTTTACTTTGCTATATTCAGGAGGGGAGGCCGTCGCAATGGTGTGACACAGAGACATATAGCCTTCAGGGCTCTGGGAGTTTATCAGTGCACGGATGAACGCATGATGGCTTGATGTGGACTGGGAACCAGTGGCGGCCTTAGGGATCGAGTCTGCTAGACTTTCTAAGCCCTCTGTAGATTCGAGGTTAGTTATCTGCCAATTTTCTTAGTATCGCACGAGAAGATTATAATTCATACTCTCTTGGATCGTTTGTATCCTAGCTGCGAATATGTCACCTAGGGCTGGTGTTGGGTGAACGGGCCCGATCAGGACGACGCCGCTGAGTGGAATTTGAAGGGCCAATTCAGATGCGACCATGGCACCCATAGAATGACCAACGGCAATGAAGCGGCGGGACTCGAGCTTGAGCTTAGATATCAGAGCTGCAATCAAGCCTGCAATCTCGCTTGGTTTTCTGTCCCGACCAGCATACTTGGAGAGCCCGCTTCCTAGGGACAATGGTAAGCCGACAAAAAGCCAAACAGAGCGTTAGGCCGATTCACGAGAGACGTAGCCTACCTGGTGTATCAAGAGCCAGACATGAATGACCACTCTCAATCAAATGAGGTGTTACAGTTTCGTAGAATGAGTGAGAGGACCCCAAGCCATGAATAAACACAAATGTGAACCCCTCCTCGGAGCTGGCGGGGGTCCACCTGTAGTAGACATCTTGGTCTTGGAGTCTGAGAGTAGGCATTGTGTCTTGCTTGTGAGAACATTCCTTGACAGTACAACTCGAAATCACCTCGCGTTTGTTGATGTACTATGAAATGACGTTACCTGAGAACCTAATGGAACCAAACTAGAACGACAGTTCCGATGACCGACACGGAAGCGGCATAATTTCGGGGCGTCAAAGCCGGTCGGCTGGAGGGCGGAAAGGATTCTCACTGGCGGGGCCGCCTGCGGATGTGGGCGTGGATCAAGCACCGGCGACATTAGCAGCGTCCTCTGAGCCAATAACGTAAAATCCTAGTACATCCAGACCATTGTCCCAGACTGGAAGCAAGTCCTACCTATTGAAGACCAGACTTACCGTGCCCGTGTACACTACTAGGACGATCGCAGGCCTGATTCATAGCACACTTCTCAGCCGACAAACATGACAGAGACGCAGGAAAAGTATAGCTCCATATCGGAAAGCTCCAGGATATTCCAGGTGCTACTGGACACACTGAGTGATGGCATCTCCATCCCAGATGCCGCGCTGGGCAAGAAGGAAAATGTGAAATTCACGGGGGAGAGAGACAGGCCTTACTTCCCTATTCCTTTTAAGGAGACGGAGACGACTGCTGCCTTGAAAGCCGTAGAAAGCATTATTGCTGCTTCGCTTGCGGACGCTAAATTTGGAGAGAACTCAAACCGGTCTATTGTTGTGGACCAGGAAAAGACGACTGCCTTCCTCTTCCAAGCGTACTTAGCCAGGATAGGCGGGTTGGGAAAACTGGACAAGGATGTTAGAAAGCTACTGAAAGGTACGCTGCTTCTTTTATGCCCAAAATCTCCTTATTGGTTGCTACATGGAGACTAACCTTGACCCCAAGATACCGATTTACTTCAAGCTCAGTCAAATGGATACCGCCGCATGTCAGCGAACCTTTATGCAACAGCTGAGCCTGGAGAGTATTATCATATTCATGGATCTCTGGAAGCTTCAACAACTCTTGGAATGATTGGGCTGCCCTCTCATCGGCCAGACTTAGACACTCATGAAAAGATTGTTGGAGTTATCGAACCTGCCGTTCAGAAATTCACGGTGGCAGAGCTGGAAAAGCTGAATGCCGAGAACCGCCAGGCGGGTGTTAAGGCATACAAGCATGACGAATTCTTAAAGACTCCCCACGTACGATTAATACTTCTCTCCCATAAATATCCATTCAAGCTGACCGGAATATAGGGTCAAACTATTAGCAAACAGCTTCCATGGACAGTCGAGAGTCTCGAGATTGAGACACCACCTACACCGCTCCCTAAAACAGACGATAAGCGTCTTCTCTCGGGCATCAAAGTCCTAGAGATGTGCCGCATCATTGCTGGACCCATCATTACACGAATCCTGGGTGAGTACGGTGCTGATGTGCTCAAGGTTACGAGCCCACACTTGAGCGATGTACCCTTCTTTCAGGTAGATGGAAACATGGGGAAACATGCGGCGGATGTCGATCTGAAAACCCCAGAGGGCAGGGAGGCTTTCGAGAAACTGGTACAAGAAGTCGACATTGTGGTCGACGGGTACCGCCCTGGAGCGCTCGACAAGCTTGGGTACGGGGCCAAGTTCATGACTGAGCTTGCGAAGAAGAGAGGGAAAGGAATCGTATACGTCAACGAAAACTGCTTCGGGTACACAGGCGAGTGGGCACATCGCCCAGGATGGCAGCAAATTGCTGATTGCGTGAGTGACAATTTTTACTTTTGGAAGGCGTAATTACTTTACTGACAGTGCTATAGGTGAGCGGTGTGGCATGGGAGCAGGGTCGTTTCATGGGCCTCGACGAGCCCGTCGTTCCCCCATTTCCTATATCTGACTACGGAACTGGGTGCATGGGGGCTATTACCGCCCTAGCAGGTCTACTTCATAGGACCGTACGAGGAGGTTCTTGGCATGGAAAGGCATCACTCCTACAATACGACATGCTGCTCTTCAAGGTGGGCATGCTGCCTAAAGAAGTGCAGGATGAGCTCCGTCAGCAGATTGGTCCGGATTTCCTTGCTTTGAGACATGCTCACAGCGTGGATCAAATCTCAGGAACAGCCCTCAAGCAGATGAGAACGGTCTTCCCTAATTTCGTGGAAAATCCAGAATATCTAGATCATTGGTACAGCAAGGCGTATGATGCCCCTGTTTCTGCCGTTAAGCCGGTGGCTGAGATTGAGGGTTTAGACATTAGTTTCCTTCGAGCTAGTAGACCGAACGGAACGGATGAGGCGTCTTGGGACTTCCGTGATGAAGACCGGAGAATATAGAAAGGGAACTATTAATTTAGACATATGTAGAGCGGCATATAAAGGCTATTACTGAAATACTCCCATACCTAAAATGTCACGTTTCCTAAATCAACAGCGAACTAGCTTACATTGACCACCGTGGTGAATTGCTGCAAGGCTAGCATGTTCTAACCTGTGCGGCTACTATATGGATAATCTCTCTAAGTACCTTTTCTAAACAAAGTTTAATTCTCTAGCATGCTCCTCAAGACTAGGGTTTTCGTATTTCACTCCTCCTTTGATTCATCTAGTGATAGTTCCCTTCTCATTTTAGGGGTTCGTTTCCCCAACCCAGAACGGGTATCAACGTCGTTCGTAGATGACCCGTAGATTATGGAAAAACGGATATATGATTAGATTGATTTGAAATCTATAACATTATTATCTTATCATCTTAATCGCTTCGGGTGCCGGGCAGAGATATAACAACCCGGGATCCGATGATCTTGCCCATTTTTCTCGTACCATGGGCTCGGTTCGGGAACGGAGCGGAACTGGCGGGTGTCAGCGGATAGCGGCTATGTCCCTGATATGGTCATCCGCCAATTCCATTCGCTGCGCCAATTGCTCTCAGCCACCAACAGTCTAGCTAACAAACTTCCATCCAATGTCAAACAGCGTCCCCCGCATAAAGAGGGCCATATTAGCGGGGAGAAAGGGGAGCCTGGGCAAAAACTTGGGGTAGCCGACCCTTGTCCGCGTGCTGTTCAGTACGCGTTCTTCCAATTCCGTCTGAGCTACAGGCTAGAGTTCGACCTATGTCCGTCTAGGTATTAATAACTGGTCCGCTCATCAATTTGTTCTCTCCATCTTGCCCTAGTCTATACGTCAACACTCCAATCCGTTTCCCTCCCTTATCCGAGATACCCTGAATCCAAGATACTGTATTCAACGACCAGCAGCAAGATGAGCACAAAGGCGACTCAACCCGGTGGGAACCTTGGGCCCGAGTTCACCCAAAAGGTGATTGACTCTATGGGCCCCAACACGCCTCCCCGCCTCCGCGAGATCATGGATTCCTTTATCCGCCACATTCATGCCTTTGCCAATGAAGTGCAACTCACCAGTGATGAATGGCTTCTCGGCGTGGAAATGATCAATTGGGCGGGCCAGATGAGCAATGAGAAGCGCAACGAGTCACAGTTGATGTGCGATGTCATCGGATTAGAAACGTGAGTCTCACCGAATCAGAGCTTTTCAGGCATCTTTGTTGACACCCGCCATCTAGCCTTGTGGATGATATCACTTATACTGCGGCGACAAAGAGCGTCAACGGACTCACCGCATCTGCTATTCTGGGTCCCTTCTACAGACACGATCACCCTGTGCGCAAGAATGGCACCACTATCAGCTTCAACACCCCTAAAGATGCCAAGCCTGCTTTCATGTACGGGCGGGTAACCGACGCGGTTACGGGCAAACCCCTTGCCAACACCAGCATCGACGTCTGGCAAGCCTCCACCAATGGTAAGGCTGAGAATCATCTGCTGTGACGACTGAATTGTCTAATCTTTTGATCGAACTTCAGGTCTATACGAGCAACAAGATCCGGAGCAAGAAGACTTGAATCTCCGTGGAAGGTTTATTACCGACGCTGAGGGCCGCTATTCTTACTACTGCCTCCGACCAACCCCATATCCTGTAAGCCTCAGGATTACCGACCACGTTGAACGTGAACGTGTTCTAACCAGAATTTTAGATCCCTGAAGATGGCCCAGCCGGTAAAATGCTTCGCATGATGGATCGCCATTTTTACCGTCCCGCACATATCCATCTATATGTGAGTGATGACGAAAAGTAATTACGTGAGACTTCACCGCTAACACAGTTCTTCCAGGTCCGGTCTGAAGGATACAAGCCGCTCGTGACTCAGATTTTCGACAAGGACTGCACTTACCTGGGGAATGATACCGTTTTCGCTGTCAAGGACGAGTTGTCGGTGGAATTCAAGCCTCGCACTGGGGATCCCGAGGCGACTTGGGAGGTGGAGTATAATATTACACTGGCGAGCTCAAGCTCATGAGCAATGTATTTAAATGGAGTAATAGCATCAGGTCAAGTCATTTATCAAGAGGAACTGAGACATGCAGCTGCCCATGTATGCCCAATTGGCCGGACGAGATGATTGGTGAGATCAGACTCCCTCCCCCCTTTTGACGTTACCTTGAGAAGTTGGTGGCGTTATATAATGGTCAGGTGGTTCATTTTACCCAATCATTGAATTTGAGGCGTCGGCTACCAGGTTTACTGTCATATTTCCCGTGCTGCTGGTTCTGAGGGTCCAGCAAATGTCAACAATTGGTTGGTCATGTTACATCAAATCTTACGTGCATCTAATGGTTCGCGCATGTGAATCTTGGGTATTAAAAGGGACCTCTCTTGGTGAGGGAATAAAGAGCTCTTCTGCCTATCAGCCTACGTGTTCCATAACTACCTTTCAGCATCGCACCTCTAATTAGGAACACTGATCTATCCCCTTAGGCACCCATAACAATGAATAGCGACGAGAGAAGCTGCGACTCGGGTGCGCGGGATTGGGCGTCGTCAGAGCCACTTCAATCGTTAGTACTCGTCGAAATACCTACTGGAAGATTACTGTATTGACTTGAGCGCAGCCCTTACTCCAGCAAAACATGTGCCCTATTCTTTGGAGACGAAGGCCCATTTTATGTTCACAGGAAGCTACTTAATGTGAGCCCCAAGCTCGTCCCCAAAAACGGCCGCCTCGATTTTGATAACATCCCAATCGATGTTGGCCACATTATTGTTCATTTTCTTCTCACCGAAAAATACCAATACCTTGGACTGAGGCGACAGACCAACGATGAGGTCCTTGACGAATTCAACACTACTATCCTAGCTTGTAGCGCCGCCAAAAACCTCGAGTTACCCACCCTCTCCATTCTGGCCAAAGAGCATTTAGAAGTAATCGGAAATCAGCTGAAGCTGACCTCTATCATTCGAGCAATCGAAGCTTCGAGGCCGTCACCCATAAATGTCCCGGAGGTGGCAGCGTATCTCAAATTACGCATCGAGAGGCTCGTTAAGAGTTCTAGCAACGACACTAGCCGGATCCTCTCAGATGAGCTTGCTGAACCGACATCTGCAAGCGAAGTTCTCCTCATATGCATCCTTGAGCTGCAAGCCGCCCCGGGTATGGTTGAAGTTGAAACTGCACAAGCTGAAGATATGGTGATTAACGACATCTGCGACACAGAAGCGGGAGAATGTGAAGAGCCACCGGCCCAAACATCAATAACTGTCGATTTTGCAGCTGCCGGTACCAATACGGCAGCGGCTGAAGAGCCACGAGCCGAGAGGCCAGGCGTTGAAGCAGCTATGCTAATTGAAGCAGCGATGCCAATTGAAGAAGCAGTACCAATCGAAGCTCCTATACCAATTGAAGGGCCGACACCAAGTCAATTTCCAGTACCAATTGAAAGCCCAGCACCATACGAGCCAGTACCAATTGACGAAAGGTCACCTGCTGAATCACCACTGCCAGTTGACGAAGGTAATTGAACCCAACAGCTTGGAACTATGATTTCGGCTAGAGAAACTTGCTGACGGTGTTGCCTCAGAATATATGCGTCGATTTTACCCTCAGAGTTCGCACATCCCCGATGCTTCTCCATTGAATCATCATCCAAGACCATCGATAAGGAACAAGAGGAAGGCCAAAAAGCCACGCGTGGTAAAGATGCCTGAAATCACTCCTGATTCTCCTCCTTCCGATGAGCCTCTCATCTACTATTGAAGACTACCGGGTGTTCACCGCGCTTCTCTGACAACGCTGTGATTCTAAACGTCTAGCAAAGCTGCTTTGGCCAAATAAGCGTTAATTCCCCAATTCAGGATGGGTACATTTGTAATTTATATACGGCTGGATGGTGTAATATCATGACCATCCGCAACTGACTAATCATGTCCAGTCCGATTAATAATACGAAAGAGGGTGGGTTTAATCTCAAGAGGGACGATTGCACGATTTGTACGATTCATTGACAAATTTCATCTCATTTAAAAATTTTATTTCATGGACGGCCAAAACTCTGTTCGCAGACGCAAAGGTGGGGGATGATCATCTGATGATACCTATTCGCAAGGCTTTCCTAACTCAAAATAATGTGCATCGATAGCTTGCGATTTCTGCGTTTCGCGGAAGATCAGATGCGATTCGCTCAAGCCCGTATGCACAAATTGCCTTACCTACGGCGCCGAGTGCCGAATGACCATCACAACCAAGGCTGGCAGAAGAAGGGCTCCAGATAGTCATTACCACGGCCAGTATCCTGCCACGACGCCGTCAGAATCTCCATCACACACGTAGGCCTCCCCTCCGTCCTCTGGCCAGTCGGGAAACATGATATTCTGGACTTCTAACAAATTGTATACAGGGAGGTATCACTGGAATCTCGACTTTCTAACATAGAGTCACAACTGGCCCAACTCGTTGCCAATTCTCAGGCAGCACATACCACGCTGCAGCAACATGTTACCCCAATTTCGTCCGGTCATCGTGTACGGTTCAGTGATCTGCCAGAAGTAAACTCATACCAATCGCCGGATATGTGGCATGAAACCTCGAGTATGCCATGCATGAGTATAGCCAAGAGTATCAGTGCCACTTCGGGGATACCAACTGCAACATGTGGACAGTTAGATCTCCCACCCTTAACTGAGGTGCTTCCCGTGGTAGACAACTATTTCAACGCCTACAACCGACACACTCCGTTATTTGACCAGCCGAACTTTATGCGCATGATTCTGGAAATATATTCATCCCCTCACCCGCGGGAAGTAGTCCCATGGGCGGCACTCAACTTGGTCCTTGCGATCAGTTATCGGTTGTTGGAGGACAGATCCCTGGACGACCCAGCATTAGCACAAAGCATTCGGATTCTCCAGTCGGCAACAACTGATTTGATGGCATGGGACAAGGACCTTCTGGGTCTGCAAGTTTTGTTGGGCATGGTAACACTCTTCCAGGGGGCAACCAGCCCTCAGCTGGCAATTGTTCTCATCGGGAGCTGCATACGCCTTATCCAGAGTATGGGTTTGCCTTCACAGAGAAGCTTTGAGGGCCTTCCGCCTGGTATTGCTCTACAAAAGCGGCGTATATTTTGGATTGCATATATTCTTGACAAGGTCAGTTGTATGCTTCGATAGATGCTTCTGAGCCTGAAATTGCGGTACTGACAACTGGTAATCAGGATTTGGCACTTCGAGCGAAAGCGCCATATACGCAGATCGATGCAGAGATGGATCTCGAATTTCCCGAGGAAAGCGAGGATGGGTTAGGTATAGTGACATCCAAGATAGATGGACTCCGATTCAACTATCTCCGTGCTCGTGTGGAGCTTGCCCATATCCAAGGAAAGATCCACGATCTCTTGTACAGCAAGCGAGCTCGGAAGCTATCAGAGGATCAGAAATTACACAGCATTTCGCGCATAGATGACATGCTTCGCACATGGCGAGAGTCGATTCCCGACGGTCTGCTAACTGCCGATGGCTTGCGCCGACGACTGAACGATGGAGCTCTCCAATTAATGACAAACTTGCTCAACCGGCACCTGGAATGCATCTTCAGACTTCATTCGATGTATTCCTTTGAACTGGCATGGCTCAATAGGGTCCGATGCTACTTGTCACCCTGCGTCATCGAGCTGCGAGACGACATAGATAGCGAAGTGGTGCATTGTAACCTCGCACCCCTCCCGATAGGATGGGAAGAGTGCGTGAAGTATTGCCGACTTTGTCTGGAATTACTGGCCATGGGGAAAGAGACAGAGCATGCTATGCGGTATGTATCCTCACAATCCTTTAGTCACTTGATTTTTAACCGACTAAACTTACCAGGATCCATACGTGCTGTGAATTATCGGCTCTCATTGTGTTGCTGGTTAACATCATCGAGAATCCAGATCATGAATTCCTTGCTGTTGATCAAAATTTGATTGATCGAACACGAGAGTTGTTTGAAAAGCTAAGCGAGGGCTCATCAGAGAACAAATTCTTTCTCCTGCAACTTGCGCAAGATTTGGACAGACGGGCAAAGGGGCAAGTCAACCGGATTTTGCAAGCGAACGATATGTGGTTTCTAGAAGATATGGGGGATAGCTAGATTTAAATAGATCTTCCGCCCTAGGAAATGATGATTATCAATGGCCAATCTAGCCAAGCTCGTGCTCTTTGTCTTCTCCTTTCTCCTTGCTCTTGGTCATCATGAAAATAGGGAGTGTTGCATTGCTGCCACAAGTCTGACCAAGCGAAAACGGAGACGGAGACGGAGACGGAATTCCACGGAGCGGGTCCAAGTCAATCAAGCATGTCGCGGAGCTCCCCGGGCCCTATAGTTAACGATTGCTCACGTATTATATGATAGTCTTAGAAATCTATTTATCATTTCTTCCAGTTGATCGTACAAAATTTCCTGAAAGAGAATAAAAGGTTGCATCGCCTTGGGTTTGTAGGTCCTAAGTCCCACCACATGGCAGCGCACTACATACACATTCAGGAGACGTTCGTAGCTTGGTTTATTGCAACAGCACATCTGGTTACATTGTCGATACTATGACGAAGATACTCCTGTATTCAATCCATTTCCCACGCTTCTTCTCTTTTGCAAGAGCTAACTGCCAAATACCTAGAACCGGTGCCTCGGGCTATATTGGTGGCGACCTCCTTTACCTCATTGCCAAGCGGCATCCTGAATACGGAGTGACAGCACTCGTCCGGAATGACACCCATATTGAAACGATCAATCAAGTTTTAAACAATGTACAAGTCGTTCAAGGCACTCTGGACGATGAGGACATTCTTGAAAGAGAGGCCACCGAAGCAGATATCGTTCTCAGTAAGTCCTGCTAAACAGTCATACGAATCATTATCGCTAACTTTCAGGGAAGACTTAGCTTCATCAAGCCATGTGAAGAGCGTGCAATCAATTCATCGCGGTCTACTAGGTAAGCTTGACCGGGGTGAAAAGCTCCCGTACTGGGTTCAAATGTCGGGAGGTGCTGCAGTAGTTTCCAAGGAGGTGGCAAACCGAAACTGGGAACCGGGTACTGGAAGTGACCACATTTGGGATGATCTGGATGGCATTGCCTCAATAAAATCCATCATCAGGAACGATCCCACCCGGGCTGTTGATAACTACATGATGTCCGTTGCACAGAGTTCCAGCTACATCAAAACAGCTGTCATCTATCCACCTATCATCTATGGGTCAGGGCGGGGACCAGTCAATCAGAGAAGCGTCCAAGTCCCTGATCTTGTTGAGGCAAGCCTCAAGAGGGGTCGAGCCTTCAGACTTGGCCCTGGTCTAAATCGATGGGGAAATATTCATATTCGGGATCTCAGCGAGATGATCCTTCGACTTATTGAAAAGGCCGTACAAAGACACACGGATAATAATGTATGGGGCCAAGACGGAATATATCTCACTGGAGTCGGAGAGTTGGTACGTCTCGTTTTTCTATCTCAGATTTAACAAGTAAACTATCGCTCGAAAGCTAACATAAACTTATTTGTGGACATTTAATAACATATCGAGAAGGGTCGCGGCAGCCGCCTTTAATCTGGGGCTTCTTCCCGATGCATCGGTTGAAGTCATGAAAGAGGATCAATTCAACCGACTTCTAAGCCATCACGCAGATTTCCCTGGTACAATTTTGTACGGAACTAATTCCCGAGGGGGGTCAAACAGGGCCCGGAAATATTTAGATTGGATTCCAACACATCATAGTTTAGAAGAAGACATTGTCGAAACCGTGACCCGAGAGGGTGTAAGACTTGGACTGATTGGAGCAGAATCTTTGGACTACATACTCATCGGGCAGCTGGTAGCAAATTGCCTAGATTGATACACAAGGGGGCCTTTAAAATATATACTCCTTTCAAGATAGCTTACCAGTACGTCTATCTAGAAACAAGAGTCTCGCCAAGGCAAGAGCCAGATTATAAGCATGGCTTTTCCTCCTTCGACATTGACTACAAATACCATTGCAGTCTTCCTCGATCAGGAGATAAATCATGAACGTCAGTTTGAGTATCATAGACCTCTGACTTCGATGAGTTGTGTTATCCATGTCTGAGTAGACGTTTATCCTACCCTTGTTCTTAATGCGTTAGCGATCCCTGTTCACTCACTTACTCGGAAACTCTAAGGGGACCGCATAGCCAATTACCCAATTTGTATGCCGGGCTTCTAAACTAATCCCTGTCTCATTGACTTGGAGGATCTTAACACTCCACTAAATCCCCTTGAGAAGTGGTAAACATCCTACAGGCCTGAAACAAACCTGTAACGCCCAGTACTGCCCGTTTTAGAGAAACTTGCTTAAACTTGCTCAACGCATATTTAGCCGTCCTCCTGGTAAGAAAGGATCTTTTGGCTAGTATTGGGAACATAATTGATAGATTTGGCTTACACATTGGCTCCGTGTTTCCTAAACGGACAGGGCCACCAGGATGATGATCATATCGGATACGAGCCTGTCATATGTCGGGGATATTGTTTCATTGAAACTAGACTCTTCTCCGCTTGAAAAATGGCCGATTCGGAGGGTTCTATCATCCGAGCCTAGTTCTCTTTGATATAATATAAAAGTCCTTCGTAGAAACTAAGGCTTTGTATGCGCGTTATCTATCCCACTATCTCAACGTTGTCGTCCAACAATATAATAGAGAGTCCATCATGCTCTCTTATAACCGGCCTTTACGGGTTGTGATCAACGCTCTGAGCCTGGCTACCGTCGCACGTTGTGCCTCTTTCGATTGCTCATCTTTCGGGCAGTCAGTGGACCTATCCTCATATAATGCCACTATCCTCAATTCCACCCACTATGCCGCCGGCGAACTGAATGAATCGGGGACCGTGAATGCGGTCCCGTTTTGCGAAGTGTACTCTTCCGTCAGCTATGGCACGAACGATACCATCATCTTCGCACTCTGGCTGCCCGACGAGCAGTACTCCTCGCGGTTCATGGCAGTTGGCAACGGCGGCCAGGCGGGCTTCATCGCCTACAACGACATGATGGAAGAGTTGAACAGCGGGCTGGGCTTCGCGGTAGCCGGTGGCAACGCAGGCCACTTGGCCTCCGACAACGAAGCCGGCACTGGCCTTGGCCTCGGCGCGCCCGGCGTCTATCAGTCGTTCCTCCATGATGAGGATCAAGTGAAAGCGTGGCTCCATAATGCCATCAGCCTGATCACGCCGCTTGCAAAGGAGCTGATCAAGATCGCTTACGGGGACCAGCCGGAGCATTCCTACTACAGGGGCTGCTCCGCCGGCGGTGCGCAGGGATTCTCCCTCGCTGAATTCCACCCCGACCTCTTTGACGGAGTCATTGCAGGGTGCCCATCGAATTGGTTCACGCGTCTTATACTGGGCTTCCTCTGGAACTCTCAGCAAGCAAATGTAGGTTTACCCATCTGATTGCTCTTTGTGTGTTGTTGCTTACTCAGTTCGTACAACAGACCAACGCAACGTTTCTTTCCGACTCCGTTTTGGAGTTTATCCAAGCGAGTGTGATCCGCGAATGCGACCTCATCGACGGCGTAGCAGACAACCTTGTCGAAAACCCGCTCGCCTGCCCCTTCAACATCACCTCTTTAGCCTGTTCGGAAGGTTCTTCTCCCGGGAACGCCACGTGTCTCACGCCTGACCAGCTCTCCGCCGTGAAGGCGATATACCAAGGACCCGTGCGTTCTGGCGATCCCAACAAGTCTATCTGGCCAGGGGTCGCCCTCGGTTCCGAGGCTGGCTGGTCGCTTCCAACAGTACAGGGCCTCCTCTCCCATGTATTCGCCGTGCCGCTTTTGCAAAACTTGGTATACGACGACCTAGAGTATGACCCAGCGACATTCAACTGGGGGTCCGACGTGGAGGTTGTAGAAGAAAGAGCAGGCGGGCTGATCAACTCGATCAAAACGGATCTCTCATCCTTTCGCGACCGTGGTGGGAAGATGATCGTGTTTGCCGGCTGGGCGGACCCGAACATTTCCCCAGAGTGGTCAATCCAGCACGTTGAAGCCATCACGCAAGATACCATTGGGCCCGGAACCACTATAGCAGAGAACGATTTTGTCAAGCTCGTTATGGTACCTGGGGGCGGGCACTGCGGCGCAAACATAGCCAAGTATCCTTATGTGCCCGCGCACTATGATTTCTCGACCGCAATGGTAGATTGGATAGAAAAGGGGCAAGAGCCGGTTGAAGGGATCAAGAGCTGGGGTCCGACGAATGGAGATGAGAGGACTAGGAAGCTTTGCACATGGCCTCAAGGTGCGAAGCTGAAAGAAGGGGGGGATGTGGATGACTGGGAGAGCTATACTTGTGAATAAGGTAGTTTATATATATTCATGTAGTAGAACTATAGACTCTATATGGTAAGAGGAAAATATGAGTTGGGAAGTTGCATTGCAACATGTACTAAGTACATGTAAAAGTAATATAAGTAAACCCTGGCGTTCAAGTATTTGAACTCAGTGCTGATGCTTGTCCTAGATATTCCGGTGGCCAAAATAAGAACCATGGGCGATTGCCGAGAAATTAACATCTGGCTATGTATAGGATTTGTTACCAAGCATTTCGGCGACTTATGACACAGTATTGAAGAAGTCTGTGTCTTGAGAGTCGCCGAGGGAGCGGATCTGAGTAATGGCGCGGTCGAGATATGGTGAGAGGCATGCATAGCCCGTTAACACCATCCGATCTGCTCTTTGACTCATATACGGCAATTGAGCCTGCTGAGTGAAGCGAGGTTATTTCCTTAACTCAGATCACCTTTGTATCCCTAGGCCAAACGGTGATTTGATCGGCCGAAGCACTTGCATGTTGGTGTGGTGGTGTTGGTAACGATGGCATCGTTCAGCACAAGTTCCCAATAGAGAAAATGGGTATCGGCAGTAGTATTTACTGACTGCCTTATCAGAATTGGACTCTCGCTCTCATCTATCGGTAGACGCCGCCTGGAGTATCTCTCGGGGTGTAGGCCGGAGGAGGCTCCTGAACCACGGGAAATGAATTAATCGGCTGTACTGTCGGCGTTGGCGGCGCTGACGGCTGTGTTGTGGTAGGAGGTATATATGCTGGCGGTTCAGCTGTCCTCCGTCCCCTGCAGCACGAGGCTATGAGTATAAAGAGGACGAAAAGAATGGCTAGCACAGTACCGACGATGGCCCAAGTTGGGATGGGTTTCGTCCAGCCACGGTGGCGGCTTGATACGTATCCGCGCGTGGAGTGCTCAGAGACTGTATCGTTGTCCGAGGACACAAGCGGAAGTGCGTTTGCCGTGGCTGCTAAACCGCAGACCAGGCTCAAGAGAGTGGGTAGATGGCTTGAGAAGTTCATGTTGGCGGCTTCGATGAGTGGCTAAATCGTAATCGTATACCGGACAAAAGAATAGCGAGGCCCACACGCCCTTCTTATATCCATCCCTTCTCTGGGATCGTTCTCTGATCGTTCTATGCAAGGGCCGTAAGGCAAATTGCTAATGACATCAGCCTTGGCGATTGCAAGGCTGAGCCACAACATTGCCCCAGCTTGGGGGGCTTCCCTGTCAATATTCGGATGACTTGGCTCGTGCTCGCAAGTCCACCAATCTCAACTGCGAACCAAGACGTGCCAAGATCTACCACGCCCGGGAACTGCCAATCTGGGCCAAATCATTGTCAGCCTTGGGCGAGAGAATCACCACCTGGCCGGCTTTTGGGACTCGGCATCATCTCGCGCAGCGACCGCCAAGCATTTGTTTTTCTACACGCCAATGCTAGGTCATCTGATCATATCATGAGGCCAAATAAATACCATCTACTGAGCCAAACTCATTTTCATTGATTATTCGATTATTCCAGGCCTTGCAGCCGTATTTTGCTCATTTAGCCGATCGTGGCGTTGAAGTCAACCTAGCCATTTCGAATTATCGCCGCCAGGGGAGCCGTACATCATAACAAACACAGAATACAGACCGCTTCGCGGGCACCCATCTTACAATCCTACCAGATGCCGGATGTGTTTAGATTCGGTCCATTGTTCTCGCGTAAGACCCAGAGAGGGTACATTTTATAGTATCAGCACTATAGCCACTTAATAGTAGTACATTCTGAAAAATTTGATGTTATTCACACAAGTCGCTGGCCTAATATCTTCTTTTCTTCATCGTAGATATCAAGTCAAATAAGGAAAGCTCTCCCACAAGGAGATATCAAGACTGTCCCAATCAAGAAACATGTCTCCAGATTCCAGAGGTGTGTTGTTCCCCAGAGAGCATGTGGCAAATAAGTCATTCATTTGCACGGGCTGCTGATCCTCGCTAGGCTGGGCCGCACGATTCGCATCTCTCGCCTGTCCTTCCGGTTGCTGTCTTTCAAAGTTAAATAACTTTGACACATAAGCTGTCCTGCTCTTCGTGGATGATTTCTCGCGACGTTCATTAATCACATTGGAAAGTGAGGTTAAAATATCGTAGTATAAGGTCGCTTGAGAGCTCTTGGCTCCCAGGAAGTTAAGCAGTTCTCTGGCCCCATGAAACGCGGACTCGATTCCATAATCGACAACGTCCTTAGCAAAAATTTGGAACCCGAGTACCAGACCAGCTGGGAAGATAATTGATCTGTGACCGGTCAGTCCGAGGTTATCCCAAAACTGTTCTTAAGAATAGTCGCTTACATTATGGTTGCCATGTTTGCCTTCAGCAAACCAAGCTTCCTGGCCCCAGAACATGTCTGGACAATAAATATGGCAGCATCAAGACACGCAGATGCCAAATGAGAGTGCACCATTCCTCCAATCTGCGGCTGGATCAGCGTAGACACCAGTATCGGCCGAGTCACGAGGGTGACTGCAAAATAATAAAGACACGATACGTGGACGCGTCCAATTGCGCTCTTCTCGGCGTCGGAATCAGCGAGATCCGTCTGTGAAGGCGAAGTGCGGAGGAATTGAGGAAGGCCCTGGCTCCACTTCTCAAGCTCTTGTAGGTTCTCTTCTATCATGGGGATCGAGATCTCCTTCCGATCGTAGAGTTTTTCGACGATATTGCTTATTAGCGATACCATTTTGTAGGACGCAACAAGGCAGATCATTCCCCGGTCCTGGGATGAGGCAACTACGTCATCAACGAGGCCTTGTAAATCAGACTGGACTCCTGCAGTGGCAGGCGGACGGCCTAATATAGAGCTGATGGGGATGTCCATGACTCTGAGACTCATCCATACTCTTAACCTAAAGCCATAGAATTAGTTTGACAGTCCTTTGTAATAGATAGGAAGATCGGGAAGTACCTGAGTTGGTGTTTTGAATCTTTCATATCTGTATAGGTTTCAGGGCTATGCAAACCTAGTGACAGCGCGGCTCTCGCAGCAATTCCGAGATACATAAAAGCCGTGTTCCTGCGACACTCTCCCAGCAGATAAAAGGACATTATCAAAAATATCCTAACCATATCGATATCTGGGTCTTCAAGCATTCCAGAAAAGGCTTGGGCCTGGGCCTCGCTAAAATACGCCAACTCGCGATCATCCGCGTCGGCTGATGGATCACACTGAAGACCAACAGCTATGATGAGCTGCACGAGCGCCCTTTTCTGAGGACTCCCTCCGCCAGAGGTCGTCAGGAGCTGTTCCATCTCTTGTGGACAGAAAGGGTCTATCAAACCCCCAGTCTGTCAAACGCTTAGCAATCGGCATGCATACCAGAATAAATCACAATGCTTACCACTTCATAGAAACATTTCGCATACATGAGCTTGTCTTCCATCTTCATTTCACTGGGACTTGAAACTTGAGCTCTTGTTTGCGGCGACTCCTTCTCCAGCATGGTATCGCTTTTTCCGTGACGAGAAAATTGCGAGGGTCCGACTTGAGCAGATATAATGCCCCTCACGGCCTGCAGGAATGAGAGAGAGCCTCCTCCCCCTATGTAGACTAGAAATAAATTCAGCATTCACGTCTTGTATAGTCATATCCAAAGTGAGAATTTCGTTTCGTACCTCGCTCGCCACGCAGGTTCAGCAACATGCGAGGGGAGGGCTTCATTGAAAGCAACGACAAGGCGCTAGAGTCGTCCACATCACTCATAACCTGTACCGGAGGCTCTACATTGACAATTGTTGAAGAATTGTCCACCTCTATCGTACGAGCCTCCGAGGGTGATATTGAATCAATCCCACTAGGCACAACTGGGGCCGTCGAATGACTAAGTATGGGCGTATCTTCGAAGGCTGAGAAGACCGTTGAATCTGAAACTGCAGCACCGGTGCTATGTCTAGTGTTTGGTGGACTTGTCGAAAGAGGCTGCTGTCCCCCGTTCGCCGGCTTCGAATTTGATAATCCCGTCCCGATACCTACAGAATGACGGTTCCCCCGAGGACGGTGGGAGATGAAACACGAACTACCCAGCCCGCGACGCAGGCAGTGGGTGCAGGGCGCCGTGCCCGAGCATCTCTTCTTTGCCTCTCGGCAAGCATTGCAAGCCTCGGCGGCTCTTTGGCGCTGGCTTGAGAGCAACTTGGGGCGCGGCATCGCGAGATGTGCCGGGCGCCGGCGATCCGTAGTACGTCGCCGCGAGATATCTCCGGGGCAAGAAATACTCGACGCGCGTGAGGCGCGCCCCACAGCCACAAATTAGAGCTTCAACTGAAAGTGTCGAAGTTCCAGGGGCGTGATACAGGAAGAGGTGGTCAATCTCGACAGTGTATCAATTGTTGTTGATGTGTGAAAACAAGGTCGGCCTCATTCACAACCCCTGCCGTTCCCGACGGGCGAAGTCTGGGGAAATCTCACGTGCATCCCCACAGCCGCCGACCCACCCAATTTTCCATGAAGACTTCATCACTAGCAGTGTACTTTCCGTATGGTATCACTTAAGCTTCCCCCCTAATCAACACAGAGGAAACTGATGGAAGCCAAAAAACCCGTTTTTCTCTTATTTGTTTAGATCTAATAATTTATTTTAAGCTAACCTCTACTTTTACTATTTTAACGACGAATGATCATGCAATGCATGCCAGTTGAAAAGTAGCTGTATAGGGTAGCCCCTTTCAAACGGTTCGTAATTCAGCAGAACATCTTCCGGCTCAGCGAGATGATAAACTCATTTCGCATTTCAAAGTAGAATAAGATGAAGTAAAAATTGGAAAATTTAACACATCTTTGAAGAGTGATTGAATGGAATCGATCCCATGCTCTTCCAACGATACTAAGACTGACTACTAAATTTACATAACAATGGATTTAAGGGGATCGAGCGTGTAAGAGTACGCAGTGCAAATGCTCGGTAACCACCGGATTTCACGAATAATAGCGCTGAACTAAGATGACCCTTGGGTTAAAGTTACAAGGCGAAGCTGAGAGATTTCTACTCATTGTATTCGAGTTATTCCTCCTTTCTAGTATGAATCACGAATCATTTCAATTTTCGCTCGCTCATGATAACAACTATGAGCCAGATGCTGATCATTGGTTTGCATCTTTATCTTGGAAGTCATGCCGCGTTTCTTTTTTTTCAATGAGCTTCCTGAGTAAATACTGGGAGAGAGGGTTCGAGTATAAACTTAAACAACAAAAGAAGATGCTAGGCCCGATTAGTTAATAAAGAAGTTCATTGAACGAGGTGAGACTTATCGTACAAGTCTCACCTGGGTCAGGTCTATCTTGAAGCCGTTGCTTGCGGACTAAGCATAACTCTTCCTTGTCCATTGGTTATCTTCCTCTTCGCCACTTTAGTGGTATAACATGATCCGTCACCCAACTTAGGCGCCAAACACCTTGAGTTTCTCACTCAGTGGTTTGAAAGTCTTCTCACCGGGCTCACCGGTGCGTCCACCAAAGACGAGTTGAGATTTGAGCCTCCAGGTAGCAGGAAGGTTCCACGTCTTGGCGACCTCCTCATTGACCAGGTTGTAATGCTGGAGGTTGGCACCAAGCCCTTTGGCCTCTAGGGCTGTCCAGGTAGAGTGTTGCAACATGCCACCTGACTCGGTAGCCCAAGTTGGGAATTCATTTGCGTATGTAGGAATGTTGGCGGCAAGTTCCTGAACTACTGCCTCGTCTACGAAAAAGAGGACCTGTTTGGTTCATGTGTTAGCTAAAGTACATGTACTGCGATAACTCTTATGGGATATTGCGTTCATAGCGGGCTCCAACTTACTGATCCTGCGGCAGCCTTGAACGTGGCAATACGGTCGCTTGTTGACTGCCATTGATCCTCCGTTACGATGTTTTTCAGAGTGCGGCTGACAGTATCCCAGAACTTGCCGTGCTCCTGGTCGAAGAGAATCACGACACGATTGGATTGAGAGTTGAAGGCGCTGGGCACATCTTGGACTAAGTCCTGAACAATTTCAACAACCGTTTCCTTTCCAAATCCGAGGGTGTCGTTCAAAGCATAGTATGTGCGGCGAGCTTTAACGAAGTCGAGGAATGGTGTGGATGCCGATGTTGGGCCGCCTGCATAATATTGGCCGGCTAGGAAGAAGACGGAACAGAGCAGACCGGTTATGCTCAGCCAAAATATTGACCCTTGCTTAGCAGTACTCATTTTGTTTTTATTCTTGGGGAATGAAGAAGAATGTGTATGTCTTCTAGGTTACGGAGCTGGGAAGAAAGGAAGGGTAGAGGAGAAGGGTTATACAGAATGTCATCGGCATTTGAAGGATCATTCCACGTGGCCCCTTCTTGTTGTACCTAGGATTAGTAATAGAGTTACTCTCCTAGCAACGGACCGTAAAATAGTTGAGACAAGTTAATTTTACGACATTTGGCTCTGGGATTGTGGTAGCCGGTGGTCACCTCATCCCAAACCATGATTGCTTACAAATACAACCAATGGGACACATATACTGATCTGTCACTGGATGCCGCTTCCCGATTGTTGTTATTGACAAATTTATTGTTTTGCATCAAAGATGAAAAATAACAGGTTTCAGTACACGTGTACGAAAAGGTAACAATCATGCCACAGCTCGTCAAGTTTTATATCCGTACATCCGGAGCCTAACAACAGCGGCTTAACTCGGCACACCTCAGACTCCTGACCAACAGCTTGAATATGTAAATTGATTTTCATCATTACCTACCGTCAATATCTCCTCTCTGGCGGTACTGAGGGATCCGACCTGACTTTCATTCCGTGGTTGCCTTCGTCATATATACCACCCTAACCTGCACGATTTATAGTAGTTGTTTTGGGTAACCTAGGTGCCGGAATACGACGGAAAACTCATTTAAAAAGGGGCCAATATTCATGCTATTGATAATAATAGATATACACTACTCATGGTAGTGGTAAAAGGTTGGACACAATCAACGGAAACAATAACTATACTACCATCATCAGTGGCAGCGGTAGCGAAAGTTGTCATCCAACATGCGAGTAGAGGAGCCAGCATCGAGGGCACTGATAATGATGACCGCATACCACCAATCTTAGCAGCAGAAGAAGCAACTAATAACGAGGCTGCTCAATTACTCATCAACAAGGGGGTAAATATTGATATTGATAAGGCAAACCCTACACCATTGCTAGTTGGTATCACGTCACGATCGGGCAGAAACGTGTGTATATTTGAGCTCATCAACAAGGGAGCCAACCTCGAGGCTACTGATAAGCATGGCAGAATACCATTGATTACAATTGAAGCTGCAGAAGGAAGTAACTTGAGTATTGTAACGTTGGGTGAGAGTTCGAGTTAACAGTTGAAAACAGGAATGAAGATGTCAGACCTATTGTAAAGGCACTTATCAACGAACAAGTTAACATGGGTGCCAGTGATAAATATGGCATTACACCACTGCCGATAGCAGCAACAGTATCATTATCTGAATAAAATCCGAACCGGTTCTACCACAACTTATTGGCAATGAAGCCAACCTTGGGACAAGAAGCATAGGTGAACCGGCGCCATTGTTAGCAATAAAGAGGTAAAGTACTGTAGCGTTCATAGGAAACTTGCTCTAACATAGTTGATGGAAATAAAATCCCAATTGAATGTAGGATAATTCTGTTCCTCACTTCACTTTAGGATGTTACTAGGATATGGCGTTAGGGTCGAGTTATACTCACTCCCTGCCGTTACGTTAGGTGGTGTTGCAGCAACTCCGGCCACCTTCAGGTTTACAGCAAAGTCGGCCACTGACAGCAAATTCGGCCACATAATTCGGCTAGATAACAATTTCTACTATAGAAGGTATGTAAAGGCAGTAGTGCAGTTTGATTTCTCGCACATTGCTACTACCTACCTTCTAACTTATGAAAATAGCAGATTGTTCTGGCCTGATTTGCTGTGTGGCCGACTTTGTTGTAAGTGACCGACTCTACTGTAAACAGTGGCCGGATTTGCTGCAACACCACCACAGGGAAGTTTACGCAAGCCACTGTAAAAGGTGGGGCGGGCACGAGCAGAAGCGTCACAGTGCCGGCCACATACTCACTCAGCCAATCCCTCACACAAAATGCTTCGTGGTCCGGGAAAAACGTGGATCATTAGGTGCTCGGGGAGATAGGCAATGGCCTGAATGGTTTGTATCTGAGCTGGTGATGTCATGTCTAGGTCTAGAAACCGGCGGGCGGAGGAAGCACACCTTCACAGTACGTTCCCGACATCGCATAGCCGACCGGCGGTGCACTATCCGGTCACAGCCGAACGCTTTCCGGGCCCATGTCTTGGTGTAAATGCAAATCTGGGGCAACAATTCATGTCACCACCAGAGGTTTTACTGCAGGAAGCTGTTATTTGTTTGACATTGACGTATATTCCAGCGGAGTGCGGCAGATTTCAGACTTGAAAACATGAATAAAGCAAAATACTGATCGCATTTTATATACGTTGATACTATTTTATTAACTATTTATGAATTTCCGTGAAACCAATTCATTCACAGCATAGGCTTCAGGTCCTCTGCTACGGTAAAGGGAGCCTCGGTCTTGGCTTTGACCTCATCCACAGTCACACCGTCCGCAATTTCGATAAGGGTCAGCCCATGAGCAAAGTCCACATCAAAGACGGCCTGGAAACAGTTTATTAGTGACCGAAATGAAGATACGAGCTTGGTGTCCAGGAGAGGGGGGGGTAAAACTCTTGACTTACAAGTTCAGTAATGATTCTCGAAACGCATGCCTTTCCGGTAAGAGGGAATGCGCATTGCTTCAAGATCTTCGGGTTGCCCTTCTTATCCGTATGCTCCATTGTAACCACAACCTTCGTCTTGGAAGGGTTACTTACCAGATCCATCGCACCTCCGAAGCCCTTGACCTTTCCAGGGAGCATCCAGTTAGCTAGATCACCCCGGGCGCTGACCTGCATCGCGCCGAGGATGGTCAGGTCAATCCTGCCGCTCCTGATCATGCCAAAGCTCTCCTCGGAGCCAAAGACTGATGCGCCCGGCTTCAATGTGACGGTTTCCTTGCCCGCGTTGATCAGGTCGGCGTCTTCCTGTCCACGTTGAGGATAAGGTCCCAGTCCCAGAATGCCATTTTCACTCTGGAGCTGGACTTCAACCTCGGGCCCGACGAAGCTAGGTGC